GCGAGTACACAGGAGGGGGCACTTGGGGCCAGCCAGGGGACACAGGTGGGATCCTGTGATAACAGCACAGTGACCAGGTCCGTGCACCTGTTGCTGGTGGGTGCCGTGGGGCTCAGCTCTCCTGTGCTGCTTTCAGTGGGCCATGCTGTACTCTCCATCAATGGCATCGATGTGAATGGGAAGTACACAGCTGATGGGAAGGAGGTGCTGGAGTACCTCTGCAACCCTGCCAACTACCCCGTCTCCATCCGTTTTGGTCGGCCTCGCCTCTCCTCCAATGAGAAGCTCATGCTGGCCTCCATGTTTCACTCGTGAGTTTTCACTGGGAAGTTGAGCTCTGTGTCCTGGCTACCATGGCACCAATAATTAATAATTCAGTAATGCCCCCATTTATGTGGCACTGACCAAACGCAGAGGAACCCACATTCCCTACCCCAAAGACGACCCGTTGAGGGTGGAGAAGGGACCCAATATGGACTACCACATTTCTAATAACTTGAAGAGGAATCCTTTGTTTAAGACTGAAGTAATTTCCCTTTGTTTGTGAAGGTTGTTTGCAATTGGGTCCCAGTTGTCTCCTGAGCTAGGGAGTTCTGGCATCGAGATGTTAGAAACAGACACATTTAAACTACACTGTTTTCAGACTTTAACAGGTAAGACTTATTGCTCACATTATCCCTGTTAGTTCAAGCTCAAGGCTATTTCACCCTCACTCTGAAAAAACAAGTACAAACTGCTTTAATAGACTTGTATGCTGCTGAAAGGACTGCTTTTGTGCTTTGTCTTTATTCAGAGGGTATTTCTCGGAATTAGATTGTCAATACCTCTGAGCAGGGGCCCATCACCTAGTTGTAAATCCTTCTGCATGCCTCTACTCTACTGCTCTTGAACCAGATACTAGAGTAATCATCTTTTCCCCTTCTCTTCTGCCTTTCATCTTAAAAAGGCAAATTACCTCACAAAAATGAATTAGCCCTCAGCTGCTTACTCACTGCCCAAGAATTATCCTCTCTTTACAGCCAGAGAAACTAGTTTGTTTTGTCCATGCCTCAATTGGCCAACATGTCTTTAAAGTCTGGAGAAATGCAAGTAAACCCTAGACTGTGCTTGAACTGCAAGATTCCTCTACAGGTACTCAACTGTATAGGCCACTGGATCCCCAACCTTTTTAACCACAAGATCACTTTTTCAATTTAAGTGCAATGTAAGATCTACCTCCAACCCAGATACCCTTCCCTACTTCCTTCCTACTCCCTCATCCTCACTCACTTTCACCAGGCTGAGGTAAGGGGTGAGGATGCAGGCTCTGGTTTTGGGCAAAGGGATTTGGAGTGCGAGGGGTGCACTGGGCTGAGCCCAGGGTGGGGCTTTGGGGTTCAGGAGGCATTTCATGGTGCAAGCTCTGCAAAGGAGTTTGGGTGTATGGGAACTCACACTTGGGGCGCAGGAGGTTGGGTGTAGGAGGAGGTTCAGGGCTGGAACAGGGTTCAGGAAGCATGATCTGGCTTGACACCATTTAACTGAGATGCCTTCCGGGTGGTGGAGCGGTGGGGTTAAGGCAGCCTTACTCCTGCCCTGGCCCTGCACCACTCCCGAAAGCATGTACAGCAGTAGCTCCATGGTGCCACGTGCTGCCCGTCATCCACAGGCACTGAGCCCACAGCTTCTACTGGCCAAGGCTCCCCCTTATTGATCAATGGGAACTGCAGGAGTAGTGTCTGCAGACAAGGACAACATGTGGAGACCCCTGCTCTGCCTTTTTCATGAGCTGCAGGGACATGTCAGCCACTTCCAGAAGCAGCAATTACCACAGGGATAATTACTCCAGTCACAACCCATGAGGTGTTTTAGAACTCACTACTCAAAGAATTAATTGTAAGCATAAGAAAGAAATGAAAATGATGAACTGCACAGACCCGTCAAACAAAACGAACACACTTTGCAAGCAGTAAAAGAAGTAACAACAACCCCCCATGTGTGTGTTGGGAGATGAGTGACAGATAGTGTGTTTATGAGAATAACAGTGTGAGTGTGAGTGTGAGAGAGAGAGAGAGAGATTGATTTGCATTGCCAAGCTCCCTCCTGCCCCTTCACTGTATGGGAGACAGGGTGTCCCTCCTCCCCCCACTTCTGTATCTTGACAGCAGCACTGCCCCTCTTCTCCCTCCCACATTCTGCACAGCAAGCAGAAGGCTCCCAGGAGGGAGCTCCAAGGCAGAGGGCAGGAGCAGCATGACAGTGGGTGGAGGGACAACTGAAGTGACAACACTTGCTAGCTGCCGGGCAAAAACCAGTCAGGATCCCCTGTCGAGTCTCCAAGATCTAGCAGTAGATCCTGCTCTACTGGTTGACCACCGCTGGTCTCGGGCACTGTAACTATTTCAAAACATGCTTTGTGCACCTCAAGTAAAATCACATCACTAATACTGGCTTTTTAAAATATTCTACCCAATCATTATATATTAACTAGGCAAGTTTTAAATAATCTTCTGGTGGTGTCAACTGATCTCCCATCCTGCCTGTAAAAGAGGCCTTTTCAATTATATTTAGGAATGTATTTCATAGTATATTACCTTCGCAGCTTGCACCAAGTCTCTGCTAATGCTGCTTTCATTATGGTTCCAGGGATCAAATTTGTAGTACTTGCTGATCCACGGCAAGCTGGGATAGAGTCCCTTCTGCGCAAGATCTACGAGATTTATTCTGACTTTGCTCTGAAAAATCCTTTCTACTCACTGGAGATGCCAATCAGGTAGGGGCATAAGGAGATGTGTAGAATAACAGGATACTTGCATTTGCTCAGCTCACCTCTTTCAGAGCACTTTACAACCATTAATACAACATCCTTTGAAGCATGGAAGACCAACTTATTTTACAGTGGGAAAGCAAATGATTTTACTGTTTGAGGTTATTTGGTCAGTGATGAAATTGGAAATAGACCCCATGTCTTCAACTGTCATTCCCAGAATCCATTAACTAAATAACCCTAAGATTGCTGGGTTCTGTTTTGACCTGTGCTGCTGCCCGAAGCTCCAGTAATAAACCTGACTGCTTTGTGTGTCAAACAAAACCACAGGTTGAACCTCTCTCAATCAGGACTCCCTGGTCCAGCAACATTTGTGGGGTGGCAGGACCAAGGATGCTGCTGGATCAGAGACCTGGTGGAGGGTCAGAACACCAGCGGGCTCCGGGACCGCCACAGCAGGGATAGCGAAGCCAGAAGCTCCGGCAGCACGACCAGTGCTGCTCTGGTAGAGCTGGCAGCGCTGGGAACCCTGGCAGCTGAGTAGCAGTCTGCTTCGGGGGGGGGGATGGGGCACAGCGGGACTGCAGGCTGGTGGGTCTAGTGCTGCCGTGGGAGGGCTGGGAGCACTGGTAGTGGGGCATTCGTTTGCCACAGCAAAACAGAGCCCCAGGGCAGGACCATGGGATGCTGTGGCAGAGCATCAGGACTGGTTGCACATGGGGAGCCCACCGGGAGGCCAGGCCAGGAGCAGAGACCTCCCCTGGTCTGGCAAAATCCCTTCTTTGGGACCACTCAGGTCCCTAGAGTGAAGGACCAGGGAAGTCCAACCTGTAGTGTCTGTATCAACCCAAAGCCTGAATTTTTGTACAATTAAATTTCATAAGGAGGTTCAGCGCTGTCAGAGGTCTCATGAGAACAGCAGTCTAATTTCTGTCCTCTCTAAAAAGCTGGAGGAAACTTCCTCTGGAGATGTTCCATTTGAGCAATATGGTATGCTGTCTCTTGGCCGGACCCTCATTGAATTTCTAACCCCTATCAAGGTGGCAATCAAGCTTGAGACTTTTGAAACTGTTGTGGCATGTCAGAAAAGCTGAACTCAAGCTGCTTTGGGGGTCTGATTCAGTAGCAGAGTTTGGCAGAATAGAGAAACGGCTGCAGGACTGGGACTGGCTGTCTTCCAGCTCTTGGTTTCTGATTAAAACACCAGCATCGGAGGAAATGAGTTGTAGCTCACAAAAGCTTATGCTCTAATACTCTAATGTGTTTGTCTTTAAAGTGTCACCGGACTCCTTGTTTTAGCATGGGTTGGGTTGCAGATGGAGATTTTGACATCCCATTCTGACCATGATAGATGTACTTCTGTGATTACTGCAGGTGTGAGCTGTTTGATCAGAACTTGAAACTTGCTTTGGAGGTAGCAGAAAAAGCTGGACCATTTGGACCAGGATCATAGGACTTTTCTAGAGTCAGGACTGAGCCTCTCCTCACTAGACAGCGTGTCCAGGATCTTCTGGCTACAGCAATGGGAGAGGAGGTCCTGAGGTCACAAATGGCATGTCATGTCCAGAAATGCTGCTTTATTTTATTGGTGTAGAATTCACTTTGCCTAACAGTAAATGTCGTTGTTATAGCTAAGAATGGGCAGACATGGCTGAAGCTACAATTGCAGCTCTAATGCTGTCACTATAACATGAAGGAAGACAACACATGACATGACACAACATGGTGGTAAAACCTCAGCTAGATCCCCCTTTCTCACTTGAGTTTGTACACATCTATTTGTCTTTCTCTGTAGCTTTAATTTATGATTCAGACACATGGCTACTTTGGATGTACAAGTAATAAACATTCATTTAAACTATGGACAGATTAATTCTTGGATTGGAGAACATGAAGGAAGACAACACATGACATGACACAACATGGTGGTAAAACCTCAGCTAGATCCCCCTTTCTCACTTGAGTTTGTACACATCTATTTGTCTTTCTCTGTAGCTTTAATTTATGATTCAGACACATGGCTACTTTGGATGTACAAGTAATAAACATTCATTTAAACTATGGACAGATTAATTCTTGGATTGGAGTACATGCAACCCAGATATTGTTACTCTGGTGTCGTTTTACCATCTGGAACCATAGCTTCAGATGAACTTTACTGTGCTCAAAACCCTTTGGAAGGCAACACTTCAGCTTACCTCGGGGTAAACTGAAATAAATGATTTAAAGCGGGAGGAATAGAAGCAGAAAGGGCAGCATAGAATGACAAAGGCTAATCAGTGCAGAAACAAATGTCCTACATCCACCACTGGCCTCTGGGCAAGGGCAGCTTTTTTCTTGGGTCACTTGGTAGAAGAAATCTCATGCTCCCATTGCAGTGCTCCATTTTTATTTCATAGTTGGGTATACAGTATGTCTTAAACTACATGTGATACTTGCATATGAGTATTACTTGTGTACAATAATAGCCATTTTGTTAAGTCTGACTGAGCAATCTCATGTCAAGGGAGCTCTCTGGTAGTGGCCACTGAGCCACTTGCATCCCTAAAAGCATTCTAAAGAACTAAATCCTGCAGAAACCTCAAACCAAAATCCTGATCAGAAAAGTCCCTTAATATGACATTTGCTTCCACAGAGCAATGCTCCTGCTAACAAGCCTTCATAAGAGTGAGCCACTCCTATGGTGTAGCGTAACCTAAAAATGCTGTACGGGGACCAAAGCCATTAGAAAGATAAGCTTTCACCTTATTGTAACTTATTGATAAATTCATCTACAACTCAATGATAAAAATCTCTTAATAATTTTCTAGATAATGCAGAAAGAGGAGCTATAAATGTGCATATGCTCTTGAACCAGTTTTCTTAGTACTCCAGCATTATATTTGGTGTTAACCATCTGCTTTGCAGCTCTCTAATACTCGATGGTTAACCAGGGCGATTAATTTAATAGCAAAAAGTACCATAAATTAACAAATATAACCCGCATCCATGTATAACATGCACTCGTATATTACTTGTGGTTTTTCTATTGTATAAAAAAAATTAGATAACCCGCAGAGACTCTGCTGCCTTCATAAAAGGCTGATTTTATCATGTTGGTCTTGTCTTTTAATGTGAGTAAAAATCAACTTGAATAAGACGTGGGGGCATGGTTGGTAAAAACATGGATAATCTGCAGGTTATATTCGCTAATTTATGGTAACTGTTCTACAGTGCTTCTATCTCTTGAATGGAGTTCCAAGATCTGTACTCATTTGCAGTTACTGAAAAGGGTGCTGTTTTGCTGCAATGGCAGGGATCTGCAGTAATAAGTGGACCAGTAACTGTTCAGACTGACGAGTTGGGGGAGCAGCACTTTTAGTAATAAGTCAGCAGTCTGCTTCTGGGAAGGGAGACACAGGAGGCAGCTTATGGCAGAGGAAGCTGGGTCACAGCTGCAGTTACAACAGCAAGTGGAGGTAAATGAAAATAGGCTCAGTGCTGGCTAACTGAAATATTTCTATAAACAAGGAAGCTGAACTGAGCAACACCTCAGCTGAGGCCCAGCAGCAAGAAGAAAAGGTGGGTACTGGATGCCAGTCTTCTGTAATTCTTGCTTAGCAATCCAGACTGCCAAGTCTCTGCTCTGTTCACTAACAGCACTTTAAATAAGAGGTAAAATGAGGTCATGAGATGTAAACAATCACTGAATAACTAAAACTGCTGCAGGTATTGAAACCTAACAGCTGCTGTAGATCTTATGCTTTTCCAAACACGAATGATTAAAATTAAATGATATTTGGATAGATATTCTGATTTAGTCTGCACTGATAGGAAACTCAGTCTCTGGTCAGTTAGTCATCATCTGCCATCCGATAATAGCGTCTGGAGCATCAGTAGTACCTTTGCTGCTCATCTTTAGTCAATCTTCTTGGGTACCCGACCCATCTTGGTGCAGATGTTCCGTAACAAGAAGAAGGCTACAGTGCTGATCGCACATGTTATTTCAGCTACCCAGAAGGCTGTGGCCCAACTGTAGTGCTTGGCTATAGTACTGAAAGGCAACCCAGCCAAGAAACCACCAACTGCAGAGGAGAGAACAGAGTTAGAGTCCTTAAGCAGCAGAATCTTCCAGTTTCTCCTACTGACACTGTTCTTTGCACTATTGTTGGCATTTATAAAAATGCTTCAAGCCGGATATCTCAAGTTATTTTAAACAGAACAATGCTGTCCTGCCTGGTGAAACATCTGGTCACTTCAAACTCTTTTCTCAATGTCACTCCTTCAGGATCCCTCAACGAATGGGCTGTGGCCACCTTTTCCTCCAAACAGGTTTTCACAGCCAGAAAACTCCAGGGAGCAAACTTCCTATCCAGCTATCAGAAAAGATACAAGTTTGATGACTGCAGTTTACTTTGCTAACAAATATGAAAGTGAGGACTAAGTTGCAACCTGAAAGACACAAAAATCCCTTACCTGCTACAGACTGTCTGCTTTGGCAAATCTTATCAAAATGTATGAAGTCTCATAAGGGAGACAACTAAAGAGTGCAGCATTTTCACTTGTGACCAGAAATATGTCTGAGTCAAAACTGCAGAGTGAAACATTGCTGAGCTTTGGGGAAGTCTGGATCCAAACTTCAATGGGCTTTTTTCTTACTGTGATCCTGATGCTATAAGGACTTAGGCCTGGTCCAGATCTCAGAATGCTGGCAATAACTTCCACACTACTGCCTTGGGGTTTCTTTCTTTAGGGTTTTTTTTTTTTTAGGACAAGAAAAGTCTGAGAACAACAACATGCGTAGACTGTTTCCCTAATAAGTTAACTCTCTGTATGCTGGACTTTTATCTTTAAATCTTCACTGGGCTGGCAAAGGCTGAGGTTTCAATGGTAAGGACGTTAACAAGAAGTCTCAAAAGGTGATGTATGAGGCCAGTGTCCCAGACAGCCTAACACAAAAGATATGCTTCACATTTGTCCATCTTACCCATCTCTAAATCCAACCTGTAAAGAATACGCCTAGCTGCAGTCTCTGATGATTTTCTACAGACCCCAGTGTGGCTTTCATGGGGACTGCAGAATGAAACATCTTGAGAATCAAGCATGAAATTCAGGAAGTTGCTCAGTGAGTCTCCGGTTTTCAGACCCACTTTTTATTTGTTGAATGAACAGACTCAGTTGCACAAACCTTCACTTCCAATTCTCTCGGCTGTGCTGCTTGAGGGAGATCCTTTCATATCGCTCAATAGCACCTGATCGTATCAAGAATATCAGAGCCAATTTGAAACCTTAATTTGCCAGACTAGGATCATCAGGAAATAGGGACATTAATGGTTAACCACTTAGCCTATGGGGGCTGAAGCAGCCTGCTGTAGGCCTTGCCCTGGTATGCCATGAGCAGGGGCACTTCAACCCGACTTGAGCAGCCCCCTGCCTGCCCTGTTTCATCAGTTAACCACTTAGACTTAGCATTTAACCCGTCAACTAACTAAATGGGATTTTACATCCCTATCAGGGGGACTGAGGCTTTTTGCTGCTACAGAATAAAGGCTCTGAAGTTTGTTTGGGGGTTTTGTTTGTGTGAGGGGGACGGAGTATTACTCACCATTGGCCATTAGTGCAACAATAGCATGCGAGGTGCCACACAGATTGGAAGGTGCGCTCTCATTTGCTATCACGCCAAACAGTGCAATTGGTCCATAAGAAGAAAACCCAAAGATGGCTCCTAGAATCAGTATCCATAGCTATCAACACAAGCAAAGAGTAATCAGAGATGGGATCCCTAAATTTGAGCATGTTTGGTTAGACATTGGCTAAGTGTATAAAGCCCTGTCTACCGTATGATTCAAACTGAACGTTTTTCTGGCATACTCTGCTTTCCTAGCTGGTGGGTAGAAAGTCTAGCATGTGAAACAGTCTGCTCTGCCACATATGCTTGTAACACAAGATGGTTTATAATGTAACACATTCCTGATTGAATTGGCCAGCACATTTTCAGCTTGAAAGGAATAACTGTTTTTATCTATTGTTATCAATATCTGTGTGAACTGTCACATAGCCCCATCTCATTATGAAACTCCTTAAACAGGAGAAGATTATGATAATTCTATTTAATAAGCTTTAAGTTATGGTTAAAATGGCACAGAAAAGGTGTTTACTGCATAGCAGCCTTTTAAAAAATTATTCTGAAACGTGTTGGTTAAAGGGCATTATAGTTTTATAGATCTACTGGTCAATGCATTTATATCTGTTGTGAGGCACCCCCATTGTTGTCAGCTGAAAATCCTACAGTGTTATATTAAAAGGTAGTCTACCTGAACACGGATTCTAAGGTTGGGATTTACTTTAACAACCAGGCATTGCAAAGTATCTGAGCAATGGCACCAGTCTAAAGCCCATAAAGGGTATATAGTTCTTAGCCTCTCTCAAGATTTTTCCATCTCAGGATCGCAATATGTTGCATAACCATTAATGAATTAAGCCTTAACACTCCTATTGGGCAGAAAGTGTAATCCCCATCTGACAGTTTGGGAAATGGAGGCAAAAAGAAGAGCAGGAAGTAACTTGCCAAAAGTCAAGCAGGAAGTCAATGGCAGAGGCAGGAATAGAAGTGAGGTCTGGATTCCCAAGTCCTATGTGTTAGCTGTAAGACTTCTATTAATAGTTGGCCAGACTTATTATCTCATCTAAAGAGTAAACATTCCCAGAACCCATCAGTGTTTTAGCACTGGTTTTATGAAGATTCAGTTAATTTAGTAATATGAAATTATGAAGCTTCTTTCAGAAAAAAAACTTACAGCACTCTTCATAATGCTTTAAATCCTGTTGAACTAACCAACCTTTCAGATTAGGAAAGACTCAGTAAAAGTAGAAATAGGCAAAAGAGGAGAGAGAAAGACAAGGCAGAAACCTCCTGTTCTGTGAAGCCTGTGAGGGCAGCGAGAGGATGCAAGGCTACAATCCAGAAGTTGTTTTCCTGAGGGAGAGGTGAGAAAACATTAAAAAGGATAGAAGTGAAATTCCATTTGGTAGCAGAGAATACAGACAAAAATATTAGGGATTGGTTCAGAGAACTGTCAAAATTGCTACTAACAAAATCCTCATCAATAAAAGGGATACCATCATCTTAAGCACTTTTTTGCCCGATCATGTGTTAACTACCCAAATAGGTGGAGTTCCCACTAGGGGTGCGATAGTGTACATGTTTCAACAGTTAATAGATGAGCCTTGGTTAACTTGATTAACTTTCACAGTTACAAGCAGCTTCCCTCCCACATACCCCGCTGCTGCTTCTATCAGAGTGGAGGGGGAGAGCAGGTGGGAGCTGGTACACTTTTAGGTCAGTTTCCCATGGAACCGCCTGCAACCCCCCTATGCTTATAAGCTAGCTCCCTGCAGGCATCGGCTCCCACCTGCCCTTGCCCCACACTGCTGCCTCTGATATAGAGACAGCGGGGGGTAGAGGGGAGCAGTTACCTGTGTGTACTAGCTCCCATGGAGCTGCCTCTCGCCCGCATGTAAACATGTAGCCACTGAAAATTTCAGTGATTACATGGTTACAAAAATAAACACATTTAAACATCCCTAGTTCCCACCCTGTCTTGTGTAGTCAGAGTTCAAACTTAACACATTCTTGAGAGTTTAACTTTACTGAAAAAGTTGAGCCACCACCAGAACAAAAACCTCAAACTAAGCTTTCTCCCTATAATGAGTGTTCCTATAGTTTCCCTGCAGAGTAGCTCTGTCTCAGCCTCCAATTCCCTCTTTCAAGACAGCTTATTCCACCTCCTATATATCTATGGGAGCTAACAGGCAGCACTTTCCATAAGGAACCAGAAGTACTTGCTCAGCAGTTTTTTGCCAGTTTCTAATTCCTGCCAATAGGGTAGCTCAGCTACAGAGCCTGAAAAAACAGGTGCTGTCATGTCACCCTGTTACACTATTTCTATTTCATACAACATCTCAGATAACTAAAAGTGCAGAGAAGAAATTTTCTCTATTTCAGTTTGCTTGCTTTGTACGTTTAGCAGCACTGTGTCTAGTCAGCTTGACTCTGCAGAGGAAACAATGTCTTTCCTCATCTGTGGGAGCTTTGCACAGCAATAGGGAGAGGGGAAAAAACTAATTGTGAAAATAAAATCATCCAAATTGGCAAAGGACTCTGGGGTAAGCCTAGGAACCTAGAGCTATTTTTACTTGAGTTAGTGAAGCTGACTAGATTTCACGCTTCCAATTTTTCTTTAAATTTTTCAGTTACAGATAAAGCCTGTAACTTCCAGACCAGACACGGTGGTTCTGTAAGAAGACGCCAGAAAGTTATATTGCAGTCTGTTTATAAATCTTTCAAATAGGATGCCCTGGAACTGTGTACAGTCCTTTACAAAAGGATTATGAAGTCAGAGGAAGAGTCCCAGAAGTTGTCACTGGTGTTTGAGCATGCTTTGCTAATAGCTAGATTGAACTTCTTCAGGAAACCTTGGTTCTTCCTTTATTTGAGCAGCAGTAAACATATTGTCAGTACTCAGATAAAAAAAATGATGGGGCATAACAGTTCTACCATTTTTATGCAGAACTTCCAATGCCAAACATGGGAATACTCTTCTGTAACCTTCTGTGCTCTAGTCGGTGTCTGAGTGCAACTTGCAGGACTTGACGGCTTGTGGAAGGGGCAAATGCCCCACCAGTGGCCAGCCCAGGCAGGGAGCAGAAGGGATGGGGCATTTGACCCATGAGTTTAGCATTTGCCCCTTCTTTTAGGAGGATGCTATCTGGTGCAGCACAAGATCCCAGCTAGCTGTCCTGAATGCAAGCTCAGCTGCTGGGGACAATGGACAAGCAAACGGGAGACCCTCCGTCCTTTTCACACGCTCAGCTGCTGTCCCAGAAGCCACCAAGCAGCACCTGGGAAAGCAACCGAAAATGCGGAGGGGGAGCCGGCAAAGCAGGACAATAGTGTGTCCCCCCACCCAGGTAGGGTGGAGAGGAGACAGGTCACATGAGGAAAGCATGTTGCCCTCCTCTTTTAGCTAGTCTGGTACTCTCCTTCTCTATGTTGAAGCATCAGTCATCACTCACATCACATGCTGCATAGGAACAAACTGCTTGTGCATGGGTTACCTTAGGAGAGTCACTTGTGATTGTGACCCGGAAAAGGTACATCGAAACAGACATTCCCGCCATCATGGAAAGCAGGAGCACATGCCGAGGATTCCCATAAAGTGACAGACCCACCTGTAATACATATTGGAACAGAGAGAGAAAATACACCGAAAATGAGTTCCTACTGCCAACCGATTCACAAACATTAGAGCCCAAAGGGACTAGATGACTTGCCCAGTAATTTCTGCTACAAGCTCATAAATACTGTTTGAGCTACAGTGTATCTACAGAACTTTCCAAAAGACTCAAAATTATGTAATATCCATTTATGTCCCAAAGTAAGTTGTATCAGTGAATAATTATCCTCCCTGACCTTACTTTTAATTGATCTGGCTAGCTTCAGCTCCCAATCACTATTTCATTATGCTCCTTTCTACTACATTAAAGAGCCTTCTTCTATTAACAATGTCCCAAAAGGTAGGTGTAAGTACTTTTAGACCATGATCAAGCCACACAGATTGAACTTCTTCGGTCTCTCACTGAGGGATGTTTTGTAGACCTCTTCATTCTTGTAGCTCTTTACTTAATCCTTTCCAATTTTTCAAAGTGTGGGCTCCAGAACTGGACAGAGTAATCCAGTCATGGTCACAATAATGCCACACTCAGAGGTTAAGTAACAAATCCTTAACTTTGTGATTTCCCTGCTTACACATCCTATGATTATGTGTTAGCCTTACAATAGTAAGGTGGGAACTCATGTTCAGTTGGTTATTTACCATAATTCCAAAGTCTTTTTCAATGTCACTGAGTTCCAGTATATGGTGCATCAGCTTGTGTGACCTACATTCTTTGTTCCTAGATTCAACATGTTCTTCATATAGCCTACCTTATGAAGCAATTTAGAGCTGCCTATACAATGAACCCGTATTTATCATTATTTGCCATTCCAATTTTTTATGTCACCTGCAATTTTTTGAAATAATAATTTTATATATTATTCCAGATCATTGACGGATACTGAATAAACTCAAACAAGAACAGAACCTGCATACCCCATTCATAATTTATTTTCCAATGTATCAGTTCATGAGTTTTTACTCCATTTAAATGGGCTACATTAATTTTGGATAGTCTGATTTTAAAAATAAAACTTAGCGCTATCTTGAAGCACAAAGCCAAATACCTTACAGAAGTGTACATCTATCACCACAGTTATCTCTATCAACCATATCTGTAATCTCCTCAGAAACAATATCAACTGGAGAGCTCCCTTGGAAATTTGATGGGCAACAAAGACTGTGCTCATCACTATAGAGCTGGAGTGAATGTCTCTCATCTCAACTTTTCGTTATATCAGTGGAGATTAGGGAATGTGGCTATAAATATACAGGCTTTATAACAAACTGTAATGTTACCTCCCATTCCTGCAGCCACATAATTCATCACAACCATGTTTCTACTGGGTTGTGCCCTGCGGATATTAGATATCTGTATATTTAATAAACTTTAGTGGCTTTGTGCTTTGCAGTCCAATGCTGCACATGGTAACATGACAAACTAATTTAGCTTGAACAAAATACAGGACTATGTAGCACTTTAAAGACTATCAATTTAGTTTGACTGACACACATAAAGCTCCTCAAAGATTCTCTCTAAGGGTATGTCTACCCTACAAAGTTAATTCGAACTAACGTCCGTTAGTTCGAATTAATTTTGATAGGCGCTACACTAGCGCTCCGCTAGTTCGAACTTAATTCGAACTAGCGGAGCGCTTAGTTCGAACTAGGTAAACCTCATTCTACGAGGACTAAGCCTAGTTCGAACTTACTAGTTCGAATTAAGGGGTGTGTAGCCCCTTAATTCGAACTAGTGGGAGGCTAGCCCTCCCCAGCTTTCCCTGGTGGACACTCTGGCCAACACCAGGGAAACTCGTATGCCCCCCTCCCGGCCCCGGACCCCTTAAAGGGGCATGGGCTGGCTACGGTGCCCGTGCCAGGTGCAA